CTCCAAGTTCCAAAAATCTACCTGCCCCCCCCCCCTCCAAGACTCTTCTCAACCGTCTGATCAGAATCTCATACCATCAAGACACAACCTCCTCCTCAACCAGTAAGAATTAAGGCTACTCAGATTAGTCCCCCAACTCTCATTTAATATCTCTCTATGAAAACTATTTTACAAAATTATGAAATAGCCTTCACCCCCTTTAAACCAAGCTCACATTTGATATAAAAAGTATTAAAAAAAAATTAATTTTATTAATTGAAACATTATACCTGGGCCAATTTGAAATTTAAGAATTTTTTAACCATCTGTTTAATAATAAAAAATATACATAAACCAAATTGAATACATCTTTATAATTGTAGGACTAAAGTCGATGTTTTCCAAATAAATAAGAACCATTCAACAGCCCCACCGCTCTCACTACTTAAGCACCACAATTCCCTCTCCTCTATCGCCGCCTCTCTCTCTCTCTCTCTCTCTCTCTCATAACCCATCCAAAACCAATCTCTCCCTTTCTCTCTCTGAAAAAAATGGCAGGAACCGGAGTTGTGGCTGTCTACGGCAATGGGACAATAACAGAAACCAAAAAATCCCCATTCTCCGTTAAGGTAGGCCTAGCTCAAATGCTCAGAGGCGGGGTCATAATGGACGTGGTCACAGCTGAACAAGCCCGTATAGCTGAAGAAGCCGGAGCTTGCGCCGTCATGGCATTAGAACGAGTCCCCGCAGACATCCGTGCACAAGGTGGTGTGGCACGCATGAGCGACCCTCAGCTCATCAAAGAAATAAAACAAGCAGTGACCATCCCTGTCATGGCGAAAGCCCGAATCGGGCATTTCGTCGAAGCCCAAATCCTTGAAGCGATTGGTGTCGATTATGTTGACGAATCCGAGGTTCTTACACTGGCTGATGAAGAAAATCACATTAACAAACATAACTTCCGCATCCCTTTTGTTTGCGGATGCCGGAATTTGGGTGAGGCCTTGAGGAGGATAAGGGAAGGGGCGGCAATGATTAGGACTAAAGGCGAGGCGGGCACGGGGAACGTTATTGAAGCTGTTAGGCATGTTAGGTCTGTGATGGGTGATATAAGGATGTTGAGAAATATGGATGATGATGAGGTTTTTACCTTTGCAAAGAAGATTGCTGCGCCTTATGATTTGGTTATGCAGACAAAGCAGCTTGGGAGGTTGCCTGTTGTGCAATTCGCGGCGGGTGGAGTGGCTACTCCTGCTGATGCAGCGTTGATGATGCAGTTGGGATGCGATGGGGTGTTTGTTGGGTCTGGGGTTTTTAAGAGTGGGGATCCTGTTAAGAGGGGGCGAGCTATTGTGCAGGCTGTAACGCATTACAGTGATCCTGAGGTGCTGGCGGAGGTGAGTTGTGGGCTTGGTGAGGCTATGGTTGGCCTTAATTTGAATGATAAGAAGGTGGAGAGGTTTGCTAGTCGGTCGGATTAGGAGGGGGGGTTTGGTGGGGGTGGCTCAAGGTGAGGTTCAAAGATGTTGGTGCTTGATATTAGTAATTATATTAAGATTGTTGGTTGTTGGATTTGATGTTTTCGAGATTTTATAATTCTTGTACTTTGTTATGTTTTAGATGGTGTTACTATCTCGGGTGGCGTTGTTTATTTGTCAATGGTCAAATATATGGCACCTTTTATGTTCTGTCTTTAATTAATAGCTTATTATCCCTTTGATCAGTTGATGGCTATTTGTTTTCTGTCTTTAACAATGATAATCTGGAAACTTAGATGTTCATGTATGTGCTCCTTGATGCGGGACTGAGGCATTTTTTTTGAGTCTAGTCTGTAGCTGTAAGTGAAGAGAAAGTGTTGTGATTACTGGTGTTTGGCTGCTTATTTTGGCTTCTTTGTTGTCCCAGTGCTCTTACTCTAGGATTTGACAGTATGCACAACATCGACATAATTATTCTATTTTACTTATGCTAATTTTTCTTTGATTTAAAAAATTATGTTAACTTTGTTGATTCTTGTTAAAACAATCTCAGATAAACGCCAATGATTGATATCTCTGGACATGCTGCTGTTTTCTATTGACGATTTGTTCCCTTGTCAAATTTAAGAAAGTTAAAACCAGGTGATTACTTGTATTGTTGATTCACTGACCTGTTCTTGGTCCTGGAGGTGTGACAATGCAGCTTGGAACTGCTGCATATCAATTTAAGAAACGAAAGAAAATCTTATCGTTTCCATCGGTTTATTGGAGATTTAATATCACATATCACGCCATTATGGGCTGCATCTGGGCACAGATAGAGCTTCTTGAAACTAGCAAGTTCTTGCCCCTAAAAGGACCAAAAATATATATATATAATTACTGAGAATAGCTTACAACTGTAAAAAAAATTTATAGCAAGTTGTTAGCAGTTCAAAGAGTCTGACTAGGAATGGTTTGGATATCCTCATAATTGGTTGCTTTGCATCTCACCATGAATTCATTAGTATAAGGCAAGCCTTAGGAATCTCATGTGATTGCTTTATGCTTTATCTTTAAATTCGAATTTTGGCATTGATGACAAGATTAGAAATGCTCCTTTCCAGTGATAGATACCTTTTCACTCTTGTAGCATCTCATGGGGGTGGTAAGAGTTTGTGATTATTCGAGACTTGAGAGAGCTCAAGTTTTGGTCTTGTTACTGATATTTATATGTTATTGCTTGCGGAACATGTAGCACTGCTGAATGTTCCTATTTGTATTGTGGTTTGTCATATATCTCACGTTTGTAACATTACAATGGTAATTTATTGTTGCCTATGTTTCATTAGTTATCATTAGTTATCATGTCTACATGGTTATGTCTTTCAATACATGCTCGCCTATTCAGCTGTTTGTACTGTTTTTCCCAATTTAACAGTTCTTTCCGATTGTTTTATTCGTAATCTTGCAGAAATATTTTCAGCTACAAAGATGGTGGAGAGCTTGCTGATTTTGTTTGATTGATTTTCTGCAGGGGTGTTCTCTGATGTAGCTGTGTTCAAGTCATCCAAAAGCAGTCCATAAGCACTTGGCTACTTTGTGTATAATATTTGCTAAGTGCGGATCTTTTCGATTGCTTTTACCTTTACTTTTCATCCGAAACTACAGAGACAATCCAATAAATGTCCCTTTCTTTGTTAGACTATTTATTCATGGTTTAATTCAACTTTTAAGGCTCCAAGATCTTGTTTGATCTTGAAGTTGATTTTTTAAGCATGTGGCATTCAATTATGTGAGCAAATGTGTCTTTCTCCTCATCTTTTGACAAGCCTGCATGATTCGTACCTGCCATTGGGAATGTTCATGCATTTTGAACTGTGATGGCAGTTATGATTTGGGATGCAGAGTGGGAAATGTGCTTTGTTTAACATGCTTCTGTAGCCCAGCATTAGATATTAGCAACGTCAAAATATGCTTAAAAACGTCTGGGCTTTCTAGCCAACATTACCATAAAAAAGCTGCCTCTAAACGTTTACAGATTTTGAGAGCATATCGCGTTATTTGCCAATTAATCA